ATTAATTGTTTATTCATTTATTTCTATTTTAGTGGGGCTTTGGATAGTGAAGGAAACATGCCCTTGATGAAGCTGCTACCTATAAGCAAAAGCCTTCAATTTTCTCATTATAAAAATAGTGGAACAGTGTATTCATTCAGCAATTACTTGGCATCTCCTACATGCAGGGCACTGAGCTGAGTGCTAGAGAAATGAAAGAAGTTGAGACAAGTTTTTCACCTCTGAAAAGTGTGGAAGGAGGAGAGGAGATGCCTGGATAACATCCCTCCAGGGGCACAAGTGCAGTGCTAGCACTAGGAATACAGTGGTGCAGAATGAGGCGGAGGAGGAGGATGCAGCAAACTCCACACGGAATGTTGTGGAAGGCTGTGCTGAACAAAGTGTACAACTCTGTGACTTCACAAGTTGGGTAGCTGGGGGAAGGCCAAGAATAGACAGCACCCATTAGTTGTTGCTGATTCCCAAGAAAAGTGGTGTATCCAGCCCAGATCTTCAAAATCACTCATCTGGCTGGGTGGATATTCACCTCCCCAGGGTCTTCCAGCACTGCAAATCCTCCACCCCTTCCCACCCACATCCTCTCAGGCCTCCTACTGTTGCTGTACACAGTTAAAAAAGAACCTGGTATTTGGAGGATGTTGAATTTGAACAAGTTCTCAAACGGCATGATATCACATCTTCCCCACCCTGCTACCTCCCAGCCTGCGAATAGCACATTGCCCTTAGAGGCCTCCTTAGTTTTGTTGAGACGTTGTGCGTCTGGTTTCTGACTTTCTAAAATTATAAGTAATCCAGGTTATAAAATGTAGACTAGCTAAAGCATAGCCAAAGCCCAAGAGCTCATTAATTAGCCTCAGTTGACCAGGTAAATAACCCTGATAGAGTTTTCGTTTAGACTCGACAAAAGCACTGCAAAAGGCTATTCTTCGGAATCGTGGCAATCCTGATGCTTGATGTCCATTGGTTCCAGTGCTGGAGACAACAAAGCCGATCAACATGGGCTTCACAGAGACAACAAGGTGGTCTGTGGTGTTCGCCTTTCCTTGGTCACATTGCAGTTCCAGTTCCTACTAAGGGTCTGAACGCTGTCCTTTTCTTATTTCTGCTATCTGCCTTGCTGTTTCCTTACCACTTGAGAAGCAATGGGAGCTAGTACTGTGACCCCCAGCCCTTCGCAGTGTAATTGAGTCTATAAAACCATAAGTTACTAGGACCACAGGAGCTACAGAAAACTTTCAATTTGTACCTGTGTCTAGTGTTACATAGCGAAGTCCTTATTATAGAGCTGTGCATTGAGAACCTCATCCCCCAAGATAAAGATAGACACACTGCCATCTACTTTCAAGAATGCTATGTTTTAGAAACTTTGAAATAAGCTAGTGTAGGTGTTTATCACTCAGGTATTTTAAAATATACTTTAATATGTGAATTATTTTAGCCTCCAGTCTACCTGAAATCTGTGAGTATGCAAGGGACTGTGCGAGGAGTAGTCTAGGGCAGAAAACAGTGTCATAATCTCTGTTGGTGCTGTGTTTGGCCCTACCCTGCCCTGCTAAAAAAAAGTTGAAGTTTGAGTTTATCTTCCTGTCACTTCTTAGTGATATGAAAGAGGTTGAATGTTGTTATGTGGCTGTTGACAGCCATGTTGTAGAAATGCTTATTCTCTTGTCAAATTGCAAGCTTAAGGAGCCTCATGTGGTTATGAAAAACCAAGTACTTTTATTCCATAGACCATTTGCTGAGGTGGATTATATCTCTGGGCAATTGTAACCAATGTTCTAGTTACAGATTTTTATCAGCACCATAAATGTGTGCCGTGGCCATCTCATTTCATATTATATTCCTTCATGTAGCAATTTATCATGTTCAAAAAAATTCTAAATAATGTGGCATATTATAAGGAAGTTCTTCCTGTTGGATTTAGTAATGCTTGGCAAATAGTGTTACTCTTTCCAGCTTGTTCTGATTGTATCCCTTCTGCCCTCATATAATCCTCATGAGGAATATGTCATTGTGCAGGACCTGGGGATCTGTCCTGCTCTGAAAACCTACTCTCTTTTCTCTCTCTTCCTATCCTGTGGAGAGTTTTTAGCATCAGACAGTTACATTTCTGTCAGGGAGGGAGAAATAGTGAAGGCAGCTATTATACTTTTACTGAATGTGAAGTGCTCAACAGCATAATTAAATCCGTAAAATGGTGAGTCATAATCCCCACACACCAGCCAGCCAGGAAGCAAGTGACAGAACTGACATTTATTTGTGACCAGCAGCTGATGTTACTCCTCCGGTGGCACTGGTGCAGGCCTCTCCTGATTTGTGGGTACCAAGTGCCTAATTTCATTTTAAGATTTCAGTGCTTTAATGGATATTCTAAGGGTTGCCCAAGGAAACATTTAGTTTGAAAAGGAGATTTGGGGACCTGGTGGATGTCTGTCAAGAAGTTCTGCTGTCTTGTTGGTTACCAGAGTACATTCTAGAGAAAGTAGAATCCTACCTGAGGTGCTTCCAAATGGTTTTTTGTGATGGAGAGGGTGGTGTTTGAAAGCTTCCAGAAGTCTGTTTCCCACTTACAATTTGGGGATATGTGAATAGGTTATGGAAGATGATGAAGCAAATTAAGAAAACAAAACTTTAAAACCTTGCTTTGCAAATAAAGTGCTAAACATTCTTGATTTTTTGTGAATCAAGATTACAAGATGCAGTTTGTGTGATCAGCAGGAGATGACGCCATTTATTTGAGCATCAAAGTTGTAGACTTTTGTATAAGATACTTCCTTCCCGTTTTCCAAAGAGATTCTAGAGCTTGAAGAAGGAAAAGGATAATATAAATGTATCTTTGTACACATATACATGAGAAAAAATTAAAATCAAGGTAGTCTGGAGAGGTAATATTTAGAACATTTTAGAAATTATATAATTTGGGAACAAAGGAAAACTTTAGAAGATGGTTTGTGGGAATATTGTTAGGTTGGGGAATGTCAGTTATAGGAATGAAGACAAGCAGAAGATTATAAAAATGTTTATGGGCCCCTTTTCCCCTTTATACACAAATTTTAGACTCTGAATGGTGCCCTTTTCTTTCAAAATAATACACCTTATTAAATCATGCACCAGATACCTCTTTGAAGGATGGTTTTTAGCAATTCAAGTTAAGGCCCCTGTGTCAAAAGCAAAGCCCTTTAATCATCAGTACCTAAACTTGAGGTGAAACTATTTTGTGAGCACTTGAGAAATTTTCTGCATTACGCTGTTCTTTCTTATCTTCCTCCTTTCTTTTCATTTTCATGGTTTTTATCTCTAATTTCTTGTTTCTTACCTCGTTAAGCACCTAGAAAGACCTTGTAGGATTGGCGTGTCAGTCACCATTTGCACACATGGGCCACCCAGCATACCAGTGTGCCATTTCTTTGGACAAAACACCTTTCCCTGTTGAACATTCTTCTACTGACTGCTCCAGCGAGGATCTTCCTCTCAGAAGCATGGATATATGTTGGGATTACAGCAAATTTAAATGAGTGTGAATAAGAGTTGCATTTGAAAACTGCATTTCCCCTTGAAGAGTGGTTTTCTTGTATTTAGAGAACCACTCCTTTTATCACTAGGCCAGAGATGGAGGATAGCCTCAGTTGCATATGTACTCATTGTAGGAGGGAGGAAGCACAGAGCTACTGATCTGTTCTCATTTGCACTGCCAAAACCTTCAGACCCGACTCGATGGAGCCATTCAGAGAATCTTTGTCTTTTGTGTCAGAATTTGGCTTTCAAGGACCTGCAGTGGCAAAGACCCAGGAAGCAGGATTTCTGAATAGTGTTTCCCTAAAATTCTTGGCATAGAAAAAATAATAAAGTGAACATGAGATTCTTAATTTTAACACCACAAATAAAATCGGTACTACTGTCCAGTTTTAGTCTGGGAGTTAAAAGCATTGTAAATTGATTTTTATGCTGTCATTGTTGCCACCCGTGTTCTCTGCCACTGTATCTCCTTCCCTCCCCCCATCACCTGTTCATGCACTTTGGAGTTAGTGGACATAGCTTACATCTACCATGTGCAGTAAACACTTCCTGTGCAAAGGTGCTGGAAATAACATCTGTCATTACATCAAAGAAGGGGTTACTGCCAAGTGCAGCTGGAAGGTTTCTAATAATGAGATAGTTTTAAGTGAGGTTATAATGAAAGGAAATCTATGTGAAGTCTATGAACCTTTTTCTAAGAAAACAAAATTGTGTGCTCGTTTTCTTCCTATGTCCTTATTACATAAACATTGTTTATGCGTATATTTATACAGTCATTTCTCTATGGGAGAAGTTTGAGAATACATTTCTGGTTGTGAAAAGTACCTTTTTGGTGCTGTGCTGGAGAAGCACCATTATAAAGTGTTGCCATGGTGTTGAATTCTGTCTCTTTGAGGGGAAAAGTCCTCTGGTGAATGTAGTGTTTGTTGACTCTGAACCAGTGTGAGAATTTCTGATTGAGAGTCTAGAAAAGTTATAATAAACTCATACATTTTAAAAAGAGAAGAACTGCCCTCCAGAATATGAATCCAAATGCAGAAAAGTGTTTCGTGAACAAGAACAATACTCAGTAGATTTTCAAATTGATGGAGCTTTCCAATGGAAACTAATTTGTTCCAGCATTGAAGTGAGCATAATTAACAGAGACTTTCTTTCTTAGGCCGATTAACCACCAAAAACCATGCCAGCATTGTAACTGTAAGCAGTGAAAACCAATATTTATGAGGGGGATTGTGCAAGAGTTTCTGTGACAGATGGACATTTTATCACTGTTGATGTTTGGAATTCCCTTGAAAAGTAATGCAATATCTTGTTATTTATGAATGAATGAACAAATGATTGTGCTTTGCCGACTGAGTTTGCTTTAAAAAGTGGTGTACTAAATTAATCTTTATCTCTGCTTAGCCTCTGTTACTTTGTGTTAGGTAGCCTCATATATTCTGATGCAAAAATCTAAAAAAATCATAATTGTGTTTTTATTACAGATACAGATCCACGGGTTTTAGAAAAACAAGAATTACAGCAGCCAACCTACGTTGCCCTGAGTTACATTAATAGGTAAGCCATTTTCAGAATTTGTAACAACCTCATATCCGCCGCTTATTGACTTTTTAAACACGTCTTTTTTAACAGAGTAGAAAAATGTTTTCAGTCTTAAAATATTTGCATGAAACTATTTAAAAGCAACCTGTGTATGGAATGCTCTTGTTTCTTTGTTAGGGAGAAGTCAAATTGTAATGCTCTGTGCATATGCTGCAAACATGACTGATTTATAAGCTCATTTTGGAAGTATTTTATATGCATAGTTAGAATATGCTCTTTTGATTTCATAGGACGGTTTGGGAGATTAATGGATTTATGTTCAAGTGAACCTTTTAAATCCTGAGGTGAAGAAGTACTTTATGAATTCAAAACATTGTTGTAATATCAGAATATAATAAATTGAAATAATTTAGTATCAGAAAGTTATTTAGTAGCAGCTCATCTTTTAGTAAAAACATTCTCAACAACTGACCCCATCTATAAAGTAACATAGTTTTTACTTAAACTGAACGTGTGAGCCCAACTTTAGAGCACCATTTCAAACTTGATATATCAGGTCTAAAAGAGGACTTAGTGTTTCAGCCAACTCAAATAATTAAGGAGACAGTAATATTTGGAGAGAAACTGAAATCAACTTAGGTTAAGAAAACATACAGTCCCAAAGCAAAAAAGACAAAGTAAAAGCAAAACTCGTTTTTAATGAGAATGAGAAACTCTCTGCTCATAATTCAGGGAATGAATTTCTATTGATAGGTCTTTTAATAGTAGGTGAGGAGTGTTTTTAGTCTCTTGGTACCAGAGCTGAGGTTCGGGGTCTGAAGTGGAAAGCTGGGAATGAATTATCTGTACTGTTTCATTTGAGTGCCTTTTTAGAAAACTTATTTGATTCTTGCCCAGATAGTGCTGTGAATTAGAGATACCTGTTGTTCAGTTTCAGGCTCTTCTATGAAACATATTTTTAAAAGGATTTATGGACAGAGATATCTATTTGCATACCTCCCTTGGATTTCTTGCTTATCAGCCTTCCCAAGAAGTGAGATGGAATATCTGCAGTTTTTAATTACCCATAATATTTGACATGTGTTAAATAGAACACCTTCAAAATTACATCAAATGAAAATAAAGACATACAGTTTTCTGGGTTTCTTACAGAGTCAGTATTGTTTTCTGTAATTAGCAAGGGTTTTGAAATTTTTTAATTATATATTAAAGTTATATGAATTAATATAACCAATAATATTAGCCTCCTAATATTGGAGAATATGATGAACAGGCATATAGATTAATTATGGTACTGAATAGGACTTGTAATACTATGACTGTCACTTTGGGTAAAATATGTCACCTATGTGTATACAAATTTGTGTAATACTAAGCCATATTCTAATAAGAATCTATGAAATTTTCGCCTTCATTATTTGTGTTTATATTGTCAGCCACGTTGGACAGCAGGTAGCTACTAATTATATAGGAGTTTTTATTTTTTTTTTATTTTTATTTTTTTATTATACTTTAAGTTCTAGGGTACATGTGCACAACGTGCAGGTTTGTTACATATGTCTACATGTGCCATGTTGGTGTGCTGCACCCATTAACTCATCATTTACATTAGGTATATCTCCTAATGCTATCCCTCCCCTTTCCCCTCACCCCATGACAGGCCCCAATGTGTGACATTCCCCACCCTGTGTCCAAGTGTTCTCATTGTTCAATTCCCATCTATGAGTGAGAACATGGAGTGTTTGGTTTTTCTGTCCTTGAGATAGTTTGCTCAGAATGATGATGGTTTCCAGCTTCATCCATGTCCCTGCAAAGGACATGAACTCACCCTTTTTATGGCTGCATAGTATTCCATGGTGTATATGTGCCACATTTTCTTAATCCAGTCTATCATTGATGGACATTTGGGTTGGTTCCAAGTCTTTACTATTGTGAATAGTGCCACAATAAACATATGTGTGCACTTGTCTTTATAGCAGCATGATTTATAATCCTCTGGGTATATACCCAGTAATGGGATGGCTGAGTCAAATGGTATTTCTAGTTCTAGATCCTTGAGGAATCGCCACACTCTCTTCCATAATGGTTGAACTAGTTTACAGTCCCACCAACAGTGTAGAAGTGTTCCTATTTCTCCATATACCCTCCAGCACCTGTTGTTTCCTGACTTTTTAATGATGGCCGTTCTAACTGGTGTGAGATGGTACTTCATTGTGGTTTTGATTTGCATTTCTCTGATGGCCAGTGATGATGAGCATTTTTTCATGTGTCTGTTGGCTGCATAAATGTCTTCTTTTGAGAACTGTCTGTTCATATCCTTTGCCCACTTTTGTCTGTGTGTTTGTCTGAGACTGAGTCTCGCTCTGTTGCCCAGGCTCGAGTGCAGTGGCGCAATCTCGTCTCACTGCAACCTCTGCCTCTCAGGTTCACGCCATTCTCCTGCCTCAACCTCCCGAGTAGCTGGGACTACAGGCACCCGCCCCTGCGCCCAGCTAATTTTTTTGTATTTTTAGTAGAGATAGGGTTTCACCATGTTAACCAGGATGGTCTCGATCTCCTGATCTCGTGATCCGCCCACCTTGGCCTCCCAAAGTGCTGAGATTACAGGCGTGAGCCACTATGCCCAGCCTCCTTTGCCCACTTTTTGATGGGGTTGTTTGATTTTTTTCTTGTAAATTTGTTTAAGTTCTTTGTAGATTCTGGATATTAGCCCTTTGTCAGATGGGTAGATTATAGAACTTTTCTCCCATTCTGTAGGTTGCCTGTTCACTCTGATGGTAGTTTCTTTTGCTTTGCAAGCTCTTTAGTTTAATTAGATCCCATTTGTCAATTTTGGCTTTTGTTGCCATTACTTTTGGTGTTTTAGACATGAAGTCTTTGCCCATGCCTGTGTCCTAAATGGTATTGCCTAGGTTTTCTTCTAGGGTTTTTATGGTTTTAGGTCTGACATTTAAGTCTCTAATCCATCCTGAATTAATTTTCGTATGAGGTGTAAGGAAGGGATCTAGCTTCAGCTTTCTATATATGGCTAGCCAGTTTTCCCAGCACCATTTATTAAATGGGGAATCCTTTCCCCATTTCTTATTTTTGTCAGGTTTGTTAAAGATCAGATGGTTGTAGATGTGTGATATTATTTCTGAGGGCTCTATTCTGTTCCATTGGTCTATATCTCTGTTTTGGTACCAGTACCATGCTGTTTTGGTTACTGTAGCCTTTTAGTATAGTTTGAAGTCAAGTAGCATGATGCCTCCAGCTTTGTTATTTTGGTTTATGATTGTCTTGGCAATGCGGGCTCTTTTTTGGTTCCGTATGAACTTTAAAGTAGTTTTTTCCAATTCTGTGAAGAAAGTCATTGGTAGCTTGACGGGGATGGCATTTAATCTATAAATTACCTTGGACAGTATGACCATTTTCACAATATTGATTCTTCCTATCCATGAGCATGGAATGTTCTTCCATTTGTTTGTATCCTCTTTTATTTCACTGAGCAGTGGTTTGTAGTTCTCCTTGAAGAGGTCCTTCACATCCCTTATAAGTTGGATTCCTAGGTATTTTATTCTCTTTGAAGCTATTGTGAATGGGAGTTTACTCATGATTTGGCTCTCTGTTTGTCTGTTATTGGTGTAAAGGAATGCTTGTGATTTTCGCACAGTGATTTTGTATCCTGAGACTTTGCTAAAGTTGCTTATCAGCTTAAGGAGATTTTGGGCTTAATCTCCTTAAGACGATGGGATTTTCTAAATATACAATGATGTCATCTGCAAACAGGGACAATTTGACTTCCTCTTTTCCTAATCAAATACACTTTATTTATTTCTCTTGTCTGATTGCCCTGGCCAGAACTTCCAATACTATGTTGAATAGGAGTGGTGAAAGAGGGCATCCCTGTCTTGTGCCAATTTTCAAAGGGAATGCTTCCAGTTTCTGCCCATTCAGTATGATATTGGCTGTGGGTTTGTCATAAATAGCTCTTATTATTTTGAGATACGCCCTATCAATACCTAGTTTATTGAAAGTTTTTAGCATGAAGGGCTGTTGAATTTTGTCAAAGGCCTTTTCTGCATCTATTGAGATAATCATGTGGTTTTTGTCTTTGGTTCTGTTTATGTGCTGGATTACGTTTATTGATTTGGGTATGTTGAACCAGCCTTGCATCCCAGGGATGAAGCCCACTTGATCATGGTGGATAAGCTTTTTGATGTGCTGCTGGGTTCGGTTTGCCAGTATTTTTTTGAGAATTGAGAATTTTTGCATCAATGTTCATCAGGGATATTGGTCTAAAATTCTCTTTTTTTGTTGTGTCTCTGCCAGACTTTGGTATCAGGATGATGCTGTCCTCACAGATGAATTAGGGAGGATTCCCTCTTTTTCTGTTGATTGGAATAGTTTCAGAAGGAATGGTACCAGCTCCTCTTTATACCTCTGGTAGAATTCAGCTGTGAATCTGTCTGGTCCTGGACTTTTTGGTTGGTAGTCTATTAATTTTTGTCTCAACTTCAGAGCCTGTTATTGATCTATTCAGGGATTCAGCTTCCTAGTTTAGTCTTGGGAGGGTGTATGCATCCAGGAATTTATCCATTTCTTCTAGGTTTTCTAGTTTATTTGCATAGAAGTGTTTATAGTATTCTCTGATGGTAGTTTGTTTCTCTGTGGGATCGGTGGTAATATCCCCTTTATCATTTTTTATTGCATCTATTTGATTCTTCTCTTCTTCTTTATTAGTCTTGCTAGCAGTCTATCAATTTTGTTGATCTTTTCTAAAAGCCAGCTCCTGGAGTCATTGATTGTTTTGAAGGGTTTTTTTGTGTCTCTATCTCCTTCAGTTCTGCTCTGATCTTAATTATTTCTTGCCTTCTGCTAGCTTTTGAATGTGTTCGCTCTTGCTTCTCTAGTTCTTTTAATTCCGATGTTAGGGTGTCAATGTTAGATCTTTCCTGCTTTCTCTTTTGGGCATTTAGTGCTATAAATTTCCCTCTACACACTCCTTTAAATGTGTCCCAGAGATTGTGCTATGT